CCTTTTTTTGAAAGCGCCCCCTCTTCTTCCCTTTTTCACCCTCTCTTTCCTCTTTAGCAACATTATTTGTCTATTAGTCTTTGGTTGTCTATGGTTACAAGAGCTGAACCTCACTCGATGATAATAGTTAAAAAGTACCAGCGTCTGTGCTGTAATAGTTAAGCTCTTCGCCGTTTTTCTGGTAAGGCGTGAGTTCAAAACCCGTGTGAAGATGTTTTTTTATGAGTGTCTCCGCCTGTTTACTCCCCCACGTTGTCGCTCTCTGAGAATCTAGCGGGAGAATCGACATGCACAGGCACAGATATGAGGGTCTCAGAACTCGGAGGTTTGTGGTAGAAAAACGGCTCCTCGGGCACCACCCTGATGTCCTCACAACTACTGTCGTCGGAATAGTAGTCGGACCCCTCCTCCTCACCTGGAAGCGATGCGTGGTCCGACGTCTGTCGTCTTTTTGACGAAGACAGGATTGCTTTCGTGTTCTCTGGATTGCTTACTTCTTGGTTGACGCTGCTGCCAGGCAAAACTTGATTATCTATTTTTTTGTTCTTTGAGTGTGTGCTTTCTGTGCCTTTGATCTCACCGTCCTCAGTCGAGGTCACTATAACCGGCATCGGTGAGTCTCGTGGGCTGTCAGGTAGGCCCACGTGACCAGAGCCAGCAGAGGATTGTATAGAACGCTCCCTGTTCTCTGATCGTTCAATGACGTCAGTGATGGACACATCACTGGACTCCCGGCTCAATTCTACGGTAGCCGTGATTGTCACGTTTGCGGAATCAGAAGCTGTAGCAGAATCGGAAGTTACTTTTTGCGCATGCGCCGCTTTCGAAATTACTGCGATGTCATCTGCAGTAGATTCTCGCACGCCTAGAAGAATCACTGCCTTCCTTTCGCTTGTGTCTTTTTCATGGTTTGGCACAGCCACAGGGGGAGGGAGCGGGGCGCTTTCCCTGGAGGAGAGTCGCGATTTGGCGTTTTCAGCATCGTCGTTACCGTACAGATCAACATTGCTTGGGCGACGGTTTGAATGTCTGTCGCCAATCTGCGATGTCATGAGCTCAGCCTGCGCAGAATTAAAATACGCCGACGTCTGGTCTGTTGACTGGAAAGAAAAGAAAACTTATCAAAACAAATATTTTCCGAGATGATTTTATTATTATTATTATTATTATTATTATTATTATTATTATTATTATTATTAGATCTAGGCTATGTATTGTCAAAATGACCCACATGTATGCACTTTTTCGTGTTGTGTTACGCTGCGGTGTTGTGGTTCGATTCTTCGCCATTGCACGCAGAATACTTGAGTTCAGTTACCGAATGACGATTTTTTTTTCATCGAGGATTTTTGTACGTTTGCTGGGATGTTGTAGCCTATCCTCTCAGTCCGGATTAGCCCTTTCAGTCATGTTTTATAAAACAGCCCACTCTTGAATAACTTTCATAAATAATTATGTTGATGTCGGGTGGGAAACCTACGATACAGTACACTCATGAAGAAGAAGAAGAAGAAGAAGAAGAAGAAGCAGAAGAAGAAGAAGAAGAAGAAGAAG